AGCACACCTCGCTTTTCAGAACAATGAGCTTTGTAAAAATTGACGCGTTTCAGAAAGGCGGGGCATAGAGGAGAAACAATAATGTACAGTATGTGGAAAATAATGTGTTTTTTTAACCTTAAACCGCATAAACACATTTCATTACACCAAATACACAAAATAATGTTCTTTTTAGCAACATCATATGACCCCTTTAATGCACTGTGAACTAACAATGAACGACTGTATTTTTCTTAACTAACATGAACAAGGATTAATAAATACAGTAATAAATGTGTTGATCATTGTTTGATCATGTTAGTTAATACTTTAACTCATGTTAACAAATGACACCTTGTTGTAAAGTGTTACCCCAAAATCTGAAAGGATATCTTTAATACTTCTTGAGCAACAGGCATGCAAACTTTGGGGGGAAACACTATAGAGAAAAATGCTTTTTCACCCATTTTTCAATGGTCACCATTGGCATATAATATAACAAGTATTGCTAAAGTCAACAGATTATGATGCAATGATGCTGCCATCTTTCTAAAGTCATTTTTTCACCCTGTAAGTTGGCTCTGAATCTCAGGTGAAAATTTACCTTTTGGCCCCCTCTACAAAATAGTGGATTACTCAGAAAATATTCATCTATAACATTTAATATTCTGGTTTTCATCACTATTTATGTGTGTCTTTCTTCAGAAGAAATACTAACAGATCCAAAAGTTTTAGCAGAGGAGGTTTCTGAAATTCGCTTGATTTGACACGGAATGATCCAACAGCGATTGCAACCAATTTGACTTTCCTAACGTGACTTAAAGAAGTAAACACTGGCAGTTTTGATTTCATCCTGTCCTCAGATTGTTCTCCAGCACAGATGAGTGTGTGAGTGCATGGCTGAGTAAACACGCGTGAGCCAGAGAGTCAGTGCACAGGCAGCATCACCCTGAGGCTGAACTCATCTGGACAGATCTCTGCTGCTTCACAGTGCAGCACTTCTGTTCAGCGTCTCTGAGAATTCAACTCTTTTACAAATAAATGCAGCTTTTATGTTCTATTTTTATGCAGTGATGCTCTTTGTACCGGTGCCACTTATTCCTGCTGGTCTGGCTGAACATTGCATTTTTATTCTAATTCACAACCTTTTCCACTCCAAAACATATTTAGACCTAAATGTAAGATTTGTGTATATGAATTAGGGTTGCAAAGGGGTGGAAAATTTCCAGGAAATTCCGAAAATTTTCCAAAAATCCCTGGAATATTAAAAGAAAAAAAAATCCTGGAAAGTTTCCAAAATTTACTGGAAATTTTCCAACTTTTTGCAACCCTAATATGAATTGCATACAACATTTTCATGCATTTGAATTGCAGAGTTTTAACATAAACAAACTATTAAAATTAATGTGATGCATATTTTTCATGTACATCAGTGAAACATGTCAGATGTAGGCCTAAAGATTTTTTGTATACAATCAGAGAATTTTGTTTTATTTGCATGCTTTGGATTTGTTTTTGTTTGTTTTTTCATTTATATTTTTAAATGTATTTATTAATTAATTTATTGCAAGTTTCCAGATTTGCTTATTTTATTCACATTTGGCAGTTTATTTAATTATTAATTCAATTATTTATTTGCAGGTTTTTGATTTTGTTATTTTCATTTAATTTTATTTCTTATTTTAGTTTTCACATTTGCTTTTCCTCGTGCTGTCATTGCCTTGTTTTTTTTTTTTACTTCTAATAATTAAACCCAAAGCAATGAAAATTCTGTCATTATTTACTCAGCTACATGTCATTTAAGGTGAATTTTTTCAGTGAATAACAGTTTAAAATGTTAAATTTTATGCCTTCAAAAGTGTTTTTTTTTACTCTTTCTGGAGCTTAAAAGCCACTGCTGAACTTCCACTTTCACTGAATGAAAACAAAGCAGAGACTTGGAAATTGTGCAGCATCTTATCTTTCATAAGCAATGCCAATTCTGTCATTATTTACTCAGAATGTTTGTTTCAGTGAATAACAGTTTAAAATGTTTAATGTTATGCCTTCAAAAGTGAATTTTTGTTCTTTCTGGAGCTTAACAGCCACTGCTGAACTTCCACTTTCACTGAATGAAAACAGAAAGCAGAGGGGCTTGGAAATTGAGCATCTCCTTTTGTTTTCCAGAGAAGACGGAAAGACATCCAGCCATGATGGGGAGTAAATAATGACAGAATATTAATTTTTGGCTGAGCTGTTCCTTTAACAGCAAGCAGATGACTTGATTTTGACATCTCATGCAAATAAAGCATCAGAATAGCAGTGCAAACACGAGTTGAGGGTGTTGAAGCTGCAAACACACCCATCCGCTGCTTAACGCAGAACGAAGCGCAAAGACAAGACAAACAGACGCACTGAACGCGCAAAAGCGCACTTTCCCTTTCAGATGCATGCATGAGTTGCATTGTGTCAGAAGCAGAGCTCTTCCTCACCGAGCATGGAGAAGATGAAGTCCTTGGCCGTGTGGATCTCGAGCGCTCGCTGGTCGTCATACTCGCGCTGCTCGTGCTTGCTGAACTCGGCGATCAGCCGGTTGAGCTCCTCTGTCCTGGCTCCGGACCTGAAGTCCAGCTCGGGGGCCTGCGGGACGAATTTGGTGCTGCTCGGGGTGGCGGTGGGGCTGCTGCCAGCTGAACCAGCCCGGCTGGAGAGCGCAGGCGCCGCCATGTTCGCGAGGAGACGGTGAACCGGAGCCGCGGAGCGCAGGCGCTGTACTGAAGCTGGAGGCGGGATGATGCGCAGCTGCAGACACACACTGATTTATTTAATTTTTTTAGACACGTGCTAAAAACTATGGAGGGCCAAATTACTAAAAATTAAATCATCAAATAAATGTTGAAATATATAAATAAATCGTTAAGTACATAATTAATTAATTAAATACATTAATATTTATATTAAATACATTTATATTTAATAATATTTATTTATTTATGTGTAAATCCACATTTTTATATTTATTCACTATTTATTTATTCATTCATTTAATTAATTATTTATTTATTTATGTGTAAATCCACATTTTTATATTTATTCACTCTTTATTTATTCATTCATTTAATTAATTAATTATTTATTTATTTCCTCCACATTTCATTTTCAGGGGGTTTGCACATTTGTTTTTATTATATTTTTATTAATTGTATGAATTTCTACTTTTGTCAAAATGTATTTATTTATTTATTTGCATGCTTGCACATTTGTTTATTTTACTCATTTATTTTTGCAGCAGGTTCTGCGTTTTTAAAATTTATTTATTTGTATTATTTTACGATATTTTAGTTTATTTCTTAATTTATTTATTTATATATTTTGAGAATTTGTTCATTTTATAAACCCTGCCACATAATTAGTGAATAATTTTTTTTTTCAAATTCCCAAACGTGCAAATAAATAAATAAACAAATAAATAATATGAATAAAATAAATGAACAAATGTGCAAGCATGCAAATAAACAAATAAAATAACTCTGACAAAATAGAAATTAATACAATTAATAAAAATATAATAAAAACAAATGTGCAAACCCTGCAACATAATTAGTGAATAAAAAATTAACAAATTCCCAAACGTGCAAATAAATAAATAAATATCAATAAAATAAATAAATAATTAATTAATGAATAAAAAACTGTAAATACAAATAAAATAAAAGCAAATGCGGAAAATCTGGCAAAATAATAAATGAATAAAAATAAACAAATGTGAAAGCATGCAATTACTAAATTAAATGAATGAGTAAAAAACTACCACAAATGAGTAAACTAAACAACTGCAAATAAATTAATGAATTAACTCAAAAATAGTAAATGAATAAACTGATATAAAAGCAAATGTACAAACACTTCAAAATATAATACATCAATTAACGCTGTGCTGCAAATGAGTAAATTAAATGAGTGAATAAAAATAAACAAATGTGCAAACCTGCAAATAAATAAACTCTGACACAAATTTCTAAATGAATAAAACAAAATAAATAAACGTAAAGCCTGCCCAATGACATATTCATAAAAATAAACAAATAGGCTATTTAAGCATGCAAATATATCACAATCTGATTTTTGCAAGCTTTGTCAAATGTTTAATTCGGCTAAATTTTCAAAGAAAAGAAACATGCATTTTAATTCTAATTCATACTTAGAATTAAAATGCATGTTTCTTTTCTTTGAAAATAGTAACATAGATTACAACAATAGTCAGAGGTCTCAATAACATCTTGTCAAAGGCACAGATTGAGTGTCAGCACGCGTCCTCCTCCAGCAGGCGCCGCTGTGGGCACGCTCTTAGCCGGAAGCGGAAGTGGAAGCAGCGGCTGCATCGCAGTGGGGTCGCAGCAGTGATGATGGCGGTGAGGGCTTCAGTGTTCAGATGGGTTTCAGAGGACATCATCAGCACACACTACCTGACCAACAGGTAACACACACTCCTCTGACTGCCTCACATCACTCACAGCAGCTGTAATCAGCTCGTTCATTAAAGCTTCAGCTGAAAGTATTCCATTTTTTAATGGAATGAATATAATTATAAACATAATGGTAACGAGCTGCTGTTTTGATTATAAACGTGTGTTTAGTTCTTTGTTATGATGGCATTTGTAGATGTAAACATTATTTAAGGAGAGCCTGAAATAAGAATGGACCTTGTATTATAATAAATATTAGTAATAACTTTACGCAAAATGTAATAACTTGCTTTAGAAACAACCTTTATAATAATGTAACCAAGGCCCAGCAGGCGATGTAATAAATATATATATATATATGTGTGTGTGTGTGTGTGTGTGTGTGTGTGTATATATATATATAAACATCATCCCATCATTATTATATTATAATGTAATATAATGTAACCAAGGCCCAGCAGGCGATGTATAAAAACAATAATAAAATAAATAAATATATATATATACTGTATACACACACACACATACACATACATATATATATATATATATATATAAACAGTTTCATCCCATCATTATTATATTATAATGTAATATATTACATCTTAAATTTGACCCTGGACCACAAAACCAGTCATAAGGGTCATTTTTTAAAGATGAGAAGATTTGAAGATTTTGATTTGATTTTTGGCATAAAAGGAAAATCAATAATTTTGACCCATACAATGTATTGTTGGCTATTGCTACAAATATACCCCAGCGACTTAAGACTGCTTTTGTGCTCCAGGGTCACATATTATACATTGAATGATCCAGATAAATCATGACAGATAAAATCAAGTCCTTCCCACATTATTCCACTCGTAAAAACGTCATTACATTATTGAAAATAAATGCATTGCTATATTGTTTATAAGTTCTCTCAAGGTTACTTTTATCAAACAAGTCTTTATAAATTAAGATAACATTTATGGGTTGCTGTTTTTATTTTTCCCACATTCCACCTTTTGAAAAATCAATAATATCCGATGATTGTTTTGCTCCAAATAGATTCACTCTACAGACGCAGCAGAGGTGTGGCTTCCGCAAGGTAGCGAAGAAGGTGGAGCCAAAGAAGGGTGTGGCAGAAGAGGCGGAGCAAAATGAAATCCTACACAAGAAGGGCGTGGCTCCTGCTCCAGACCCGCCCACCCCACATGTACCCACCCGGTCATTTGGCAGACTGGTCAAACCATTTGTCTTCACCATAGGGGTAGGTATATTTTGCTGACACATGGCAGGCCTCGTTCATGAAATATGCAGAAACACTTTCTGTGTAAATCCACATTTTTATATTATTATATTTAATTATATTCAGTTCAGTGGGACAGTTAAAATATAAAGGGCCAGTTTTACTAAACAGGACAAATTAGCGCAAGAGCGCAATTCCAAAAAGAGCACGATGGGAAATTTCTGCAGGTGATTTACTAACAACGTGCAAATTAAAGAACACAGACGCAACATCTCATTTACATATCGACCAACGCAATATACCAAGAGCCGTGCAAATAAGCGTAGTTGCAAATAAAGAATAAAGAAGCCACAGTACGTTGAAAAGAACTGGAGGCCAAAAAATTAAGGTTTGCTAGAAGTTTTGATAGACCTCCTAGTTGAGGGTTCGAAGTCGTCTTTTATTTCCTGAAGCAAATAAAAAATAACATGGCTTGGCAAACGATATGTTTGGACAATGTGTAATTTAATCTGAATTGTGATCTGGTTTGTCGCAACATCTCATTTACATATCGACCAACGCAATATACCAAGAGCCGCGCAAATAAGCGTAGTTGCAAATAAAGAATAAAGAAGCCACAGTACGTTGAAAAGAACTGGAGGCCAAAAAATTAAGGTTTGCTAGAAATTTTGATAGACCTCCTAGTTGAGGGTTCGAAGTCGTCTTTTATTTCCTGAAGCAAATAAAAAATAACATTGCTTTGGCAAACGATATGTTTGGACAATGTGTAATTTAATCTGAATTGTGATCTGGTTTGTGCAGTTATTTAATCTGGATTCTATTCTGGTTTATGCATTTATTTAATGATTTTGATCTGCTTTATGCAGTTATTTAATCCGAATTCTGTTCTGGTTTATGCAGTAATTTAATCTGGATTGTGATCTGGTTTGAGCAGTTATTTAATCTGGATTCTATTCTGGTTTATGCATTTATTTAATGATTCTGATCTGCTTTATGCAGTTATTTAATCTGGATTCTGATCTGGTTTATGCAGTTATTTAATCTGGATTCTGATCTGACAATGTATTTTTCTTGCTTTAAATTAATACGTGTGTAATAATAAAAATCCTCTCCCTTCTACCATGCACTTTCTCTTCTCTGCGGTGCCTCATGCTAGCAACAACAACTGCAGCCATTTCAAGCGCAAAACAGTTTAAGACATGCTTTATTTGAGCGTTAAATAATGGCACAAATACCAGTAATTTGACGAGCACAAACGTTAATAAAACGCGTTGCGTGATTAATTTTAATACTCTCCTTCGATAAATTTTGTGTCTGAAAGGGAAACTCCTAGAAATGCATATTCAGTAAGTTCAGGCACAAAAATAACTGTCCACGCCTTTTCAGCACAAATTCGTCACCGCGCGTCTTTAGTAAATACTGACAGTACTATTTTAACGCCAAAAGACGATTTGCGCTGGGGCGAGCTGTTAGTAAAACTGGCCCAAAGGGTTTTATATGCGATTTGCACATTCATTGTATTTGTATTCATTGTATTTCATAAATAAAGTCCAATGTGTGTGTGGATTATGATCTTTTAGAATATCGTAATAACTCCAGCTCAGTTTACAGGTTGTTCATTTGGCGGAGCGGCGATATGGCAGTACGAAAGTCTCAAATCTCGTGTACAGGGTTATTTTGACGATGTCAAAGCAGACTGGCTGGAGAAGATACGGCCTCAGAAACAAGGAGATTTACGCAAACAGGTGTGTGTCCGTTTAATGGACATTTATGTTTTCCGATGTGTGTTTTTAACAGACGTCTGTTGTTCTGCAGGTGAATCAGTGGTGGAACACTTTAAGTGATGGACAGAAAACAGTCACAGGTCAGTGTGAATGACACAAACTAAATATAGCCATCCATATTACAAAGATGAGCAGTTTAGATTGTGGAGACAATGTATTTAATGCAGTTTTATTAAATAAACAGATACTGTCCATCTATTTCTCTGTGCACTGTTCCATCTGAACAAATCTCTCTCTCTCTCAGGCATCATTGCAGCGAATGCGTTGGTGTTTTGTTGTTGGAGAGTTCCTTCTCTGCAGCGCTCCATGCTCAAGTACTTCACATCTAACCCCTCCTCC